ACACGAGGAGGGTCTGACGCTTCATGCTATAAAAAAGTGTTGCACCTATTGCATTATCTTGTAGATGATGAAAAAAAAAACAGCATAAATAAACCAACTGAAGGAGAGGAAGATCAAGGAAAGTTGACCGATTTTTTTTAATTTTTACGTATGTAAGCCAAAAAAGAAATGAAGCTTTTTCACACCATTCCGCATCCCTGACAATCTTTAAACTTTACAGCGCTTTTGTGGCGATGGGAAAAGTCATCGTTTTTTTTTTTGGGTGTTTATTGGAGCCACACAAAGGAGTAGCGTGGCTGGAGGTCCTCCAGTTTGTTGTTTTCTGTTTGATAATATCATTCATAGCTTCTATAGAGGGCATATGCGTCTCATTCACAGTCGTTGCTGAACTGGCTTGTATATTAAGACTGCACTGCCGAGAGATATTATTGCTCAAAGGTTCTTGATTCATTGCTTTGGGATCCGAAGAACCAACAAGTTTAATTTTTGTGGGCATACCACCATTCGGTATGAGTGACGCAAGTTTGGTCCCATTGCCACTATTGACGGAACTCTCGGATGTGGCCGTGTTTGATGATTTCAAGGGGGAAGGTGCATTCGTTTCGAATGTGTGCTCTGGCCTCGACATATCACCTTCCCGATCTAGTATTTCGTTTGAAAAAATGCCGGACACACTACTACTGTCGTAATATTTAGCATGATGAGTGTCCTGAGACTTGGGTTGGGGACTCATGAGGATGTTGACGTTGGTTGTATCGACCTTGGCGTTAGCATTGTCCCTATTTTCTGAGTGACCTAAGAAACTGCTATTAAGTTGGATGCCTTTATCTCTGGTACTTCTACAAGTACTCTCACGACGCCATACCGCCTCCTCTTGCTCCTTTTGCAAGGTAATAAGCCACTGGAGCACTGCCTCCTTCACGTGTGAGGGTGAAGAGGTCGCTACGCACAAGACGACCGCAACGGGCAACAGTGACTCTGAGGATAAGTAGCCACCACAGCATTTCAGCTGATCATCCTTCTCGGAGATCACCTTCATGACCTCCTCATTGATCTCAAAGAACGCGAGAATATAAAGCATATGGCCTTGCTCATCCAATTCTTGTCCATCCCATGCGGCACAATGCCGACAGGGTACCCGATGCAAACGCACAAAGGGTGGAATGCTTGCATCTACCATTGACAGACCCATTGAGAGGTCGCACACATCGAGAAATACTAGAGAGTTATCACCCAGTGCCCGAGGAGCCAAACACGCCATGATGGACAGATACCCAATCACTTGAATCTTCGGAGGAAAAAAAGCATCAAAGTACTCATCGTAACCCACGATAATCCGCGGTAAGCTTCCTAAGATACGGCTAATCAGCCACCCCATTACCCGTTTGGCATCTTTCGCCTTCAAAACTTGATCCCGGCTAAGATTATCGGCACCCATGATCGGATGCCCCGAGTTGTCATTCAATAACACGGGACTAGTACAAATTTGCTGTTTAAGTTTCTTCTCCAATGCGGCAATGCGGTGAAGGTGGGTCTGGACGATCCGTTTTGTGTTGTCCCGCTCCTCTTGGACTTGCCCACGCAATCGCATTAACTCCTCGATGAGGTCCTGGTGCTCGTTTGGAGCGATAGCGCTCACATCACCCGGCCCACCGGGCTGCGGGATAAAAGTCCGGATCCGCTTTAGGCGTTGCGAATACCGCAGCGTGCTCAGCGTCTCGCTGTAGAAGTCGGGGGAAGGGTGCACGCAGGCCAGGAAGGTCGTCCGCGATGACCCGCATAGATAGCGCTGTAGTAGTACGGTAAGCACGGTATCCCTGAAATTCACATAGGATTGGCCGCGGTCTTCCTTCATGTGCTGCATGCTCAGCCCCTCCAGAACCGTACTCAGGCGCGATAGCGATTTGTTAATGCTAATACTTTCCTTGTTAAGCTGTGGGGAAAAGAGGGTTTGCCGCTCGCTTCCCGCCAAGTCGACAAAGCAAACCCGCACCGCCTTGCTTTTAAGGGTGAAAACGGCGTGGCTGCGACTGCTGCGAGGGTTACGGTCCGTGGCCGCAGTACGCCTGGAGCGCATGCCATATTCCGCCACCTCCTCCCACTGCGCGCGGGAAATTACGGTGCGGGTGAAGAGATTCTCCACGAGAATAATCGGCCCATGGGGCCCGTGGTGTCGCCGGATTTGTCGTACTTTTCCCTCCTCTAGCAAATCATACACCGCCTCCATGTACACCTCCACCATCGAGACCTCCACGATGCCACTCTTCCTAATTAATTCCTCCACGCAGAGCGTCATCACACCGGCTTCACCATCACTTCCAGCAATGGTGTGGGTCTTGCCGCTGTTGGTGTGGCCATAAGCTAAAAAACATCGTGTTTCCGGGTGTTCAATCGTGGCGGAATTTAACTGGGATAAAAGTAATTGTTCGAAAATCGCCCTGTTCGAGAGTTCTTGGCCTAACAACGCATCGAAGCGGTAGCGTCTCGTGTTGGCAGCCGCGTAGACTTCCGTACCGCGAACTGAAATAAACCCTCGTTCCTCATTCGAAACAAGGCAATCCGCTGTCCCGGAAGGGGTACGCCGTACACGAACGGCAACCTGAACACGCTGATGCATCTATGACAGATAAAATAAATACGTCTTGTTTAATCATTTAACCTTGTTCAATGATGCAGCTTTGTCTTTAGATATTTTTTTCAAAAAAAAATGTTAATTGTATTTGAAAAATGATAATAATAATATTTGTAATTAACTGCATTTTGAATGAAAGAAACCAAAACGAGCGTCACAAAATTAAATCTACTAATTGTCAAAGTAATAATAATTTTTTTTTAATTTTACACTATAGCACAATAATGAACCTATTCAATAAACCGTATCGATATAGAAGCTACAAGTAAACTTATTTAAGTAATGGATATTAATTTCAACCCCCAAGTATACCCACACATCTCCACTAATCCAAAGGAAAAGAAAATATTCGTACAGAACTGTCAAAAATGGAGAAGAATACACCCTCAAATAATCTCAAATCTGGAGATACTATCCTACGTATATTAATTATTATTATTAATGTTTTTTTGGGAGGGGAGATAGATAATAGTTACAATAGCTTATCTGAAGGGTAATAAAAAAGTGAACTGAATTGTTTATAGGAAACATGATTACCAATAATTAACTGATAATATGGCAAATAAAAAATAAAGAGATGCATTCCAATATATATCATTAGAATTTTCAAGTAAAGTCAAAAGGAATCACACCTTAGATAAATGCGACTAAATGCATGTGGACTACTTGACTTTTGATAGTTCTAATTGGTGTTGCAGTTCAATGCTTTTATTTTCTTTATTTATAAGCATGTTATCATACAGTAACTTATTTCCCCAACATAACGTAAAACGTTAACTACGTATAGACAGCTTTCGGACCGTAAAAATTGTCAAGACTGCGAGCACTGCTACTACTGATAAGGTACAAATCACCTTCTGTTCGGAGGAATAAGTAGAGACTGCGTGTTTGACCACACACTTGACGTCATAAATGGACTCTTCGCCATGTGAAAAGAATGGCCGGCAGGTGGATCGTCCAACTTCACTCTGCAGTAAACCCTCAGCCTCAGCAGCACTCACTTCGATATATTCAAGGCGTATCGTCGATAGATGCACGGAGGAAGAGAGGCTCAGGTCCGTATAAATGTATATACTGTCGCGGTGGGAAGAAAGATTTGGCATTACATGGGCCCCTCCACCTACAAATCTGGACAACAGTCCATATGTCTTGGAAAAGACAATGGAAAGTTCCTTTACACGTAAACGGTAAAGTATATAGCGCCCAGGTTCTACTGATAAATTTAATGCTACAGTAAAGCTACCTTCTAATTTATCACCTTTTCTATGTAGTTCTATTACACCCTCTTTATTTGAAGTTTTAACAGATATTGGAATGTCCATTACAAAACTTTAACTTCGTATTTTTTTCAAATAAACACAAAGCAACTTCTAGCCTTAACCGCTCCGTATCGTGTTGCCTTGTTTCTTGTTTATAGTTCTTGTTGTGTAGTTGAATGACATGCATAGAAATGTAAAAAAAAAAGAGTTGGTATGGGGGGTAGAATGGAATTTTATCAGTGATACTTTAATTTGAAGTGATACATATGCTGTATATTATGAATAACCAAGCTTTCCAAGAGCCTTACAAGGACAAAAGGGAGATTTGCATGTTTTCAAAGAAGTGTTAAGGCGTTTAATATCTTTGGAAAAGAAAAAGGTGCTATTGCCCTTTGGGCCACACAGAAATAAATAAAAAAGATCATGATATTCATATAAATATATGAATATGATGAGCTTTGTTAACTTTGTTAATCATTAAATAGGTGACATTCAGGCCCTATCAGAATTATTACAGCATTAGATACAGGATCTTAACAATTTCCTGATAGTGAAAAAACCATTGCTTTGGTTCTGGTCGACCGTAAGTAAAGATCAAAAAAAAGTGAAGGATGCCCTACAGGAGATGCCTCTATGGGTAAGCAACTCAAATTAAGAAATCAAAGGGTTTATGTCGGTTACAACCAATAGTAGCAAAAATAAGTTAATATCATCATGGCAAAAAAAATATATTTCTCAATCATCAACTAACACTACTAATGTAGATTAAAAAACTTGAGGACACCTCACTTTTCTTCCTTTACTACGAAACACTCTTCTACAAGACTGAAAAATGAAAACTGAAGTAATGATAAGCATAAAAAAAAAAGGTCAATAGTTCTTTTATACTTAAGAAGACTATAGTCATACACAACTCACGATTTTCACCTTCCTCAACATGAGTAAGGTCATTGTATTCTAGATGTTGTTTTCCAAACTAAATACTATAAATAAAAAATTGCTAAAATATATTCAAAAGAGTACGAAAAGAGTATTGGCTCTGATAAAAAATATTTAGTTTGAAACGCTAACTCAAATATATATATATATTACTTGATTATCTGCGGAAGTTAGAAAACTAAAAATAATAAAAAAGAAAATATTTCCTTAGATTTCTAGTTGGGGCTCCCAATTCGTTCCAATGCGTTGATAATCAGATTCCAAAACTTTTCATGATCAAGTGTGACCCCCAACTGTGTGTGACAGTCTTCGGAAGGAGGTATTCGGAGGTCGACCACCGACATGCCCCTCGTCAAGACCCCATTTAGCTCCACATCGATGGGTGCACGCTTTGTGGTGATCACAGATGGATCAATCACATATGCAACTGCACATGGGTCATGTACCACGGGGTAGGAGCCCGTTTGTCGAACTTGCTGTTTCCCATAGAAGCGTAAGATGTCCATTGTGAATTGAGAAAGCTCAGTGCCGATCGCCGTGATGCGGTCTGCCACGTCCTCCGTCATTTTAGTCTGGTGAGTGAGATTCAGACCCAACATTGTCAACGGCCACTTTTCGTTAAAGACGATGCGGGCTGCCTCGGGATCGATGTTGATATTGAACTCCGCGGTGGGCGTGACATTCCCGCCGCTACTGCTCCCCCCCATCAGGACCACCTCCTGCACGCGCTCCACAATGCGGGGCTCCAATCTCGCGGCCATCGCGATGTTCGTCAGTGGGCCTATGGGGACCAGAGTAATGCTCTGGGGCTCGTTTGACATGATCATCTCGATGATGACATTGACGGCATGGTGAGGATTGAGGGAGGGGGAAGAGTGGGGGATCTCCGGCAGTGAGACCCCAAGTCCGGTTTCCCCGTGGACGGCGTCGGCGATACGCAGGGACCCCAACAGAGGTCGCGTGCACCCCGCGGCGATCGTGACCCCCGTGAAGCCGGCCAACGCCGCAATCACCTGGGCGTTCCGTGTGACGTTCTCCAGCGTGTGGTTCCCCGCCACCGTTGTGACGGCCACAAGGTCGATCTCAGGGCTCCCTTGCGCAAGGATCAGGGCCACCGCGTCATCGATCCCGGGGTCGCAGTCTAGGATGATCTTACGCGGCATGTGAGGTTGAGATATTGCGGAGGTGAACCGTGTACCTATTTGGCGGTAAGCAAGAAAATGAACTACGAGGATGTCACAAGGGGGAAGCTGGAAGACACGTCGAGCACATAGCGAACGTTTTTAATAAGACTCACAACAGGAAAAACAATTGGTTTTGATGTGTATCCTCATCAAATTTTGTATTTGCCACATCAAAGCGTTTGATGGTTATAAATAAGGATTTACTGTAGTCGCGCTTTGGGCGACAAAGATACGTAAAAAGCTTCATTGTTTTTTTTTTGCGAACACGGCATACACATTCGAAACAGATTCCCTTCTATCATAAGATAACAACATAATTGACGTCATATTCTCACGAAATTCTCCTCTTTTTTAGACTACAGTACATATTTGAGGTGCGTGAACTTAATGGGCTGTTGATAGATCCGGTAAGGGATGCCTACAATTTTTTTCTGATACAACTCGCAGCCAAAGAAGCGACATCATGGGTAAAAAAAAAAGTTATGAATCACTGCACACATAGGCAATGAGAAGTACATAGTATTTCAAGTTGATCATTCACTCTGTGCCTGGAGAACTGTATGATTCTAATAATAGATCACGTGTAGTTTGCCAGTGCAGTACTTCACAAGACTAAGAGCAACAAGACCATCTAGAACGAACACCCTAGTGTCAGTTCTTCCAGGACAGATCACATCAGATTCCGACAGTGTGTCTGGGAGTTCACTATAGATACGGACAGTCATCCTGTTTTCTTCTCGATAAGACTTGGTTACTCTGTAATTTTACGACTCAGACACCACACCGCCATGGAGAAAAACACAATGATAGCTGCATCTAATTAGAGACTAGATTCCTTCCGAAGATATATTAACATTAATTTCGAAAAAAACGGAAAATTAAATGCACGTATAGTTAGACTTTTATTAAGAATGAAATTAAAAAATTTCCAACATAAAATAAGAACCACATTTTTCAAAAAATTTTACATAGAGTTCGCTAAATAAACACACTGCTATAAGATTTAAAAAGAGCAGATAACGTGGCTCTAAAAATCAACAAAAGTGCAGAAAGAGGAGTGAAAACTATATCTCTCTCCATTGGTTAGTATGAGTCTTTTTCACAGATTTGAAGGTCCGCACCCATTTAAACTGAAAGAGAACAAACCTTTCATTTGGAAGCATGGAAGAAGATGATGAAATAGATAAAAACGAACAAGAACTTCCCTTAGAACCCTTGTTAATATATAAAACTTAGTTAAAATGCTTAAACACGTTTGCTAGTGCGATCTGCAAGCCTAAAGCAATGCCATATAAGCATAGTATACGTTGGATCATCATCAATAGCAGCAGAAATCATGTACCAAAAGTAGGCAAAAAGCTCATAATTTAGGGAAGCCTTATCAAGTTCGTCTAAGTATTCTTTTAGCGCTTTTTTGCAATTCACCGCTGTACGTTGCAATGTTTTACCTTCAATCTTGTTTGTCTGGAAACGATCCATCATATCACTCGCGAGCACACTCGGAGCGTCCTGGTGAGTACAAAGTCGCTCAAAGAGCTTTCGTATAACCGCCTCGCGGCTGGAGGGCAAGGGAACGCATAGAAAGAAGATCAAATCCACCCGTGTGGGGGCCTTGAGCCGCACCCATTCCAGATGCAAATCGGTGACCGTATCCGGCACGCCACTCTTGCGTAACGCCCGCACGTAGGCCTCGATCGGTACCGCCCGCACGCCCCACTCCTGGAGGCGCACGTAGAGCTCGGTGAAGGCCAGGACGTTGCCCTTTGCCGCGCGTAGGAGGTACTGTGTCACGGCAGCTTTGATAATGGAAAGCATGGAGCTATTGACGGGAGGGAAGTACCGCCGGTACATCCGGACGACCTCGCGCACGCCCAGCGACGGCGCCTGCGCGTCCTTCAGGTAGTGGTAGAGGCGGTCGGACTGCTCCCGTGAGAAGCCCACTGCGAGGTCCTGGCAAAGCGCGTGAAACTGTTGAATTGTGAGGTTGCTGGACAGAGGGCCGAAGTCCAGGTCCGCGGTGGGCTCGGCGTCCGGCCCACTCCCCACGGGGCTCTGCGGGTGCAGCACACGGCGAAGGGCGTGGAGCAGCGCGATGGAGCCTGTGGCCCCCTCTTTGGCGGGCTCCCTCGTGGCCTCTGCGACCTGAGCCGCGAGGATAGGATATTCTATTGTGCACGGTATTTGAACAGAAAAGAGAAAGCCATACAGCAAAGAGGCATCTAACCCCCCACCGGTATCGGCTTCGACGCAATAGCGCAACAAGAAAAGCGCCTCAGAGGCACCAAATCCACATGACTTGCACAGAAACTTCCGAGCTTCCTCTGGGTTCACTACCTGCGGTGGTTCGATCCGAGCCGCTTCACGCACACACTGCTCAAACTTACTCACATTTTTATTGCTAAATATCACAGAACGAGCCTTACGGACCAAAAACTGCACTTGCCAGGCCGCCCTTGGGATAAGCTGGCGAAGCTCAAAAAAAACTTCCACCGGATCTATTCTATTTTTTAGTTCGCCATCCGCACCATTGCCTTCAGATAATGGAAGCATGTGCAATAGTATCCTCAACTCCCTATCCGATACCGCGGACACTGGGAAAATAGGGCGCAAAAGTGCCTGCAAGGCGTACAGGTCAAGGTGCTCACGACCTGCCTCTTTGTATCGACTATCCACAGACTCGAATAAGGACGAAATACGCCTTTCGTCGGCATCAGGCGCACTTGTTGCTAAATATTTTACAATTTTGATATGAAGCCTTAGAAGAAACTGTGGATCCTGCAAAAGCCCTTCGGCAGTAGAATCCAATTCTGCCATAACCTAAAGAGGAAAATAATTATGCTGTGAATGCGAGTAGTCTCATAAATAGGTTTTGTTAATATAGGAAAGAGTAGAGTGCTGAAAGAGGAATACGTTTTTATTTTGAACAGAATCATTCACATTATGAAGATATTAGAGACGTGTGAAAGTGAATAAAAAGTTTTGCTTAATTGAGCTCATTTTCAATCGTTAATGAACTTTTTAGAATAATAATAATTAAAATATATTTAACACCAATCTCAAAGCGTATTATTCACCTTTCTTGATGGTTATTTTTGTGGCAAATTTCAAGTCCCACTTGGTTTGTTGTTTTACAATTGCTTAAGCATTACTTTTCCTTCCGCTGGTCAGTCTTGAAAAATAAAAAATCGTCGGCATCAGAACATTCTTATAAATAGGCAGCTATTACAGCCGTATGTGAGCTTGTGTTATACAAATAGATAAAAAATGTAGCATTTGATCTTGGGTGTGAAACACTTTGCAACTGATTTGCTCACACGTATTGAGCTCATTGCTCTTAATTGCTGTTGCATATATTCATTTTTTTTTGTGGTAGTAGTTGATATAACTACGTACCTAGAGAATGTTGAACTGCAGTATGTTCTGGAGTTACTTAAGCTATCATCCGCCCAAGGAAGAGCAAGTTGCTCTGGTAAGCATAAAGCAAATTATCTAGGATTGATCAATCCACCCAGAGTCTTTATTCAGATGGTTAAACTCGAATTTATATATAAAAAAGCTTTACGAATACCTAGAAATAATAAAGAAAAAAGTAAAAAGAAAGGTTTCAATGAAAACAGAATACAACAAAGAACAATATGCATTGATACTGCTTCATTTTCATAACTCTAATATTTTATTTCACCGCAACTACTCCAACAATCTTTTGTATTTATAAAGTTGGAGGATAAGATAAAATGGGTTTATATTAGAACGAGGTTTCTCGTTACCTTGGCATACTGAGAAAAATCTATGTAGTCAAACTATATGCAAAAACTGTTTCCATCAACCCTCCATTAATTTAGCTCTTTAACATAGCTTATCCACAAACATAATGTCTACAAGTTCCCACATGCCCTGGTGAGAATGCGTTGTGCTGCTTCCCCAGTGTATCAAAAAAGAGCTAAGGGTGCAATGTGGTAGATTTGCTGCCAGGTTTGCAGTTCAACGATGTCCATCCATAGTTATTACCTTCGGAATTCAACCTCATAAAGCACTGACGTTGAGAAGATACTTGATACTTTCGAGGCGCACTCTTGGATCGAGCCAGTACACGCCGTCCAGGGACGACCGTCTTCCGCGCGACCCCGCCCGTGTGGACCTCATGCAAAGCGCCTTGCACCACCGCTGAAGGCCCCGAAGTCGCTGGAGCTCCCACAACACCGTGATTGGCGCTGTTCAGAGTGCTAGTGGGGGGTATCATGAAGTGTTTCTGCAGTACATTAAAGGCACTGTACATGTGAAAAGGTTCACGTTCATTGCTGCACCGATATCCAGCCCCGTTTTGTTTCTTGAGCAAACAAACTTCGGCTTTGAGCTTTTCGTTTTCCAAGGAAAGTCGCTTGTTCTCCTCATCCGAGCGATCCAAAGCAGCAGCGAGATCAGCGCACTTGTTTTTTTGCCCCTCAAAATAAGCATTTGAGCTTTCGACCTGTTGATGTAAGAGCCACATAGATTGCATCACCTGCCGCATCTCTTTATCATAGCACCTGTTCTTTTCGACCTCATCCTGCAGCTCGTGTCGTAGCCTCTCGTTTTCCAGCGCAAGTGTGTGGGACTCTTCAAAGGCCTTGGTACGTTCGTAGATGGTCTCCTCCAGAGTCGCTTTAAGATCGCGCACGATGCACCGTAATTTAATACTCTCCATCCCAAACGACAAGTCGCTCGGGCAGTCCACGGCTGCTCCTCCATCCCCGCTTCGCACGTTATCGTCGATGTCGTGTCCGTCGCCGACGCCGATCAAATACCGGGAAGGGATCCCACCATCCCCCGGCGGCGTGGTATCCGTGGTCTTCGCAGAAGATATATACATCTTCTGCTGCGGGGTGCAGCTATTCCACATCAACTTGTTCAGCGTCAAACATATTTCCCACTCCTCCTTAAGCTTCTCATATTTTTTCTCAGAGGCTTCCAACTCCCTTTGGATACTAAGGTATGTCTGGTCAGCAGTGGTATCGCTCTCAGACGCCTTAAGGTCACTTCGGCTGAAACCAATGTCGTCAATTCGCCTTGTTTCGGTCACATATTTGAATATCTCCATCATTTCACACCGTACGGTACGATCGACATAACCTAAAAACGACTCCAGGTGGAGCTGATCGATTCGATCCTTTAGCGAATCTAGCTCTTCCATCATGGAGTGTTGTTTACTACCTAGTTTCGCCACACGTTCGTCGCGTTGCGTAATTTCGCACGCGCATCTCTCAACCTTCGAAACGAGTCGAGAGTTCCAGGTGCGTAAGTCTTCGACTGTCTTTTCCAACACGTCACGCTGTTCTCGCAGCTCATCAAGTTGCATGCAAATCCATAAAAACAAGTCCGTCAATCGGTCTAAAGCTTCTTTGAAACCAACCGTATTGCTCTGTTTCTCCTTTGGGAACCCCTCACCGCGCTCTGATGAAGTCTGATGTTTCTCAACACGTGAAGTATCGACATAGTGGGGTTTATTATCCTTGTTCAACATCCGAAGTTCTCCATCTGGATCTTGTGGCGAGGGCGGCCTTGCCTGCCGGTCATGTCGCTCCCATTCTAAACGGAGATCCTCTCGTAGTGCAGAAGCCTTATTGCGCAATGTTGTTAGAATTTCGTTGAAATTGGTAAACACCTGCTCATAGAACCCATTGAAACTAAGACGCTCTCCTAATCCACATTTCTGCTTCTCGACAACTCTTAGTTTGCTTGCTGTAGCGAACTCTAAAGAATTTTTTGTCGCTTCAAAATTATTCTTACCAAGAGAAGCAGTTACGATTAGGATAACATGACAATTTTGCAAGCGCGGCACAAGGTAAGTCATCAGCAGGGAGTCGCCATAAGCGCCAAAGTCCTTGGAATTGGCGCCATGAACGATATACGAACGCAGCATCGCGATCGATTTGTCCATCGCGATTGCTTCATCAGAGCCATCTTCGGCGGCTCCAATTTCCTCGATGCGTTCGGATCCCGCCAAATCCACAAGGGTCACTTTGGTGGTCAAACGCGGGACTCCATCCCTGTACTTAGTGATGTGCAGGGAAAATAGGGTGTGGGAACGCGAACTACGTGCGTTGAGGGCGTGAGTGCTTGTGTAACGGAACATCTGCGCCGCCCTCCTCCGGTTCTCGGCGTCTAATTCATTTTTTACGATATACCTCGGCTCACACCCAAGACCACCTCGAGGTTTCGGAAGTGGCATCCCAAGCACATCCTTTTCCGATGACTTGGCTAGTAAGTTGTGAGCTTTGTTTCCGTATACCTGTATATACGATAGCTCGACCACGTCCGTACTAACAATGGAGTCAAACACCGCTTTGATTAATGTTTGCGAAAGAGCATTCGTAGTATGGGTCTTGCCGCTGCCTATCTGTCCATAGCATAGCACACAAACGTTGTAATCTGCATTCAACCTCTGAAGAATACAAGGAACTATTTGGGCGCACATATCCACGTCAGAGGTATTGGGCCCTAGCACGTCGTTGAACTCGAATTTACAAGTCAATCGCATATTTCTTTCCTCCTCAATGTTTGGTTTGGTAATGGATAAAATTTTACCCGAAGGTTTGTTCACAATTTTATGACCGCCTCCAGTTTGTGGAGAGTAGGGAAAACTTCCGGTTGTCTGATCCTTCGAGGGGCTAGGGAGGTCTGAGTGGCGCATTGGGCGGACGGAGTGGGGTGTTGGGGTCCGTGAGGGAGAAAGAGACCCTGTCGAAGAACTTGGGGCCTCTACAGTGGTCTTTCCCCCTCCGGATTCTACCATTGGGGTCGTAATATCATACATGATATAGACACCAGGAGCGCGTTTTAGCTTCGGTTTCAGACGCACAAAGACTTGACAGTAGTCCAGGGAGCCACCAGTGCGCGGACTTTGCCTAGGTAACTCCCTAAGATTTTGGTGGTGGGGAAACGAAGATGTCATCGCCGGATTAGAAGTCCCCCCAGACTTAACCAAATTAACGGAATGTATGATTGCACTGCTATTATTGTTCTCATTCCTTTCATCCACTTGAAGATTCTCTATAGAACTCCCAAGAACATTTTGCGTGCGTCCCTGGGCCGCATCCATAGTGATAGGCTGATCTAAAGGATTAAAGCCAACCCCATGATCTACTCCTAGGCTACCATGGCAATTTGACATGCCCAAAGGCTGTGAACCACTTCAACTAGTATGAGCCCTAAACTGACGTATGGTGGGTTGTCGAATGGCCACGAGTTTGACCAAAGAAGAAAACTACGCGAGATCAGGGTTCTGACGTAGGATTATCTCTCAGCTCGCACCTCACTGCTTCTTTTTAAATATTGGACTGTGCCAAATCAACGGATGCGGTTATAATTTGAATGTAAAAAATATACAAATAATGAATCTTTTGCGTTTTTTTTTTACTACTGATGCTGAACTATTATCTAATATATGCTGTCACTTTCTTTAAATAACCCTGACTTGCTATATCACTAAAAAAGGGAGTAATAATTCTATTCATTCAAGCCTTCTAAGTTGTCAGTGAACAGTTGGGAGGGCGAAGACAGGGAATCGCGTGGGGAAAAAAAAAATTTTTATACAACCCTTATTATATTATTCTTCTTGATAAATAATATTTATCAAGATTAAATAAACGTACTTGGATGAGTAACAAATTCAAAAAAACTAAACAAAATACTTTATTCAAAACCACACTGTGGTGTACATCATCTCCTGTAATGTTTTCATTCAGTACAAAATTAAAAAACGTTTAAAAAAGGATAAGAGCATAAATATACCTAAACCGAAATTGATTGGATGTAAATCGCACATTGGTGGGTAAACATCAGCCTGTGACTATGCTCTTTAGAGACTAGGTACAGCTATGATACTATCTACTTTAAACACGGATTATAACTAATTCTTTATTCTACCACTTTTCGATGATTTTCTTGAAACAAAAGCAAATCCCTTAATTTTCGCTTTTTCCTTTCCCACGGAAATTGTCAAATAACAGGTAATTTAGTATAAATCAACAAACAAAAGGGATTAACTGTACTACGGTTGGAAATTCAAAACAATTGTCGTTTAAACTTTAAACATGATAATATTTTAGTAAAAAAAAATCAAGGAAAAAATCACCAGTCACAAAACCAAAAAAATTATACTTAACATCTAGGTCGAGGAAGAATAAAAATATAAAGTCCATATATATATAGACCTTAATGAAGGATAAAACACCGACTCAAAGATTTAAAAAACATACAAAGGTAAAAAACAATAATTTTAAACAGAAAACACACGCATCTGATATACAAATTGTTATACAACGAATTTTTTTTGTATGTAATTATGGTCAAAAACGCTCAGCCCATAAATTCATTTTAGATTGATATTTCATTTACATCGCAACATGGTATTAAACAGCGCGCTTGAGAGACCTATTTTTCTCTTCCTTGGTCTGGTGGGTAGGTTCAGAAGAGTTGGGATTGCTTTCGTTTCCCTTGGTCTTCCCCTGAGGCATCGTGTGATCAATTTCCTGGTCGTCACTGGCGTAAGGCTTGATGGGGCCTCCACCAGTTGCATTGGAAACACAGCCGAACAGGTCAACCGCATCCATTAGGATGTGCGAAAGCACCTTCACGACATCTTGGATTAACCACCACACAACACAATAGATCCACACCCACAAAGGCAACAGTCTATCACTGCTCTTGTCGCCCCAAGCAAGTCCCTCCGTTAGTAAGTGGTCCGGATACGACTTTTCCCAAAAGGATGCCGCAAGCGTTGACACTGACAACGATATGATTGCTGCACAAAACAGGACAATCCCTGGCTTCATCGTGAAGAAGAAATCGCCGCCAGTTCGTGACGAGAACAACGTCAGGAAGTCAGAGATTGAAATTTTCAGGTAAAGCATTGTCACCACTTTGCCTTGTGGTAGTATTGAGAAGCCAAGGTGCTTGAACCAAGAATTGGGGTAGTGCGATTCGGAGTAACCTTCAAGAGCAATCCATAACAACAGGAGCGATGAGACACATGCCACTATAGCCAGAATTGTAGCACTTACAAACACCACGCTCAGATTCCACTTTTGTGGTCTTTCAGATGGTTTAACGTGATCATACCCGATGGTCATCAGGCAGCCGTCGTTCAGCAGGGTAATCAGCATGAACATTAACACAGGGAGGTGGAAAAATTGGAATTCGGGATCCTTACTACCGTAGTCGATCGGCCTCAAGCTGAAGCATGCAATAAAGAAAAACCACACAAGCTGCAGTGTCGCAGAAATACGATATGTTAGGAACGATAGCATACGCTGGAACACCTCGCGCGACACCAGCATCGCCTCCACGACGACGCTCAGGCCAGGCTCAGTCAACACCATATCCGCAGCTGCACGCGCTGCATCCGTCGAACCGTGCACAGCAATGCCCACATCCGCACGCTTCAACGCTGGTGCATCGTTCACACCGTCACCTGTCATCGCGCATGTGTAACCGCACTGACGCAGCGCCTCAACAATCATGAACTTGTGTTCAGGGTACACTTGCGCGAACCCACCCACGGTTAACATTAATTCACCGTACTTCTCACCAATATCGGGCGGCAAGTCTGTAGCGTCCTTTAACTTAGGAAGCTTCTCCGCGGTCAGAATGTTTGGATCAAGATTCAGCATGCGGCACATCTCCTTTGCAATCAAAAGGTGGTCACCCGTGATCATTTTTACATCCACACCGTATTGCTTGCTGCGACGAATCGTATCCTTTGTGTCCGGGCGTGGCGGATCCAAGAACGTCAGAATGCCAATCATGATCCACCGCCCCTTCGAATCAGTCTTTGCAATCGACAAGCATCGAACACCACGTGACGCCAAGGTATCGATAATATCTACCACCTCATCGTTGATCTCATCCTGGTTGTGCACCATCTGTAGAATCACGTGTGGGGCGCCTTTTGTCACGCTGAATACTGTCCCTGTGCGTTTGTCCTTGAGGGTTGCGGCTGTACGCTTCGTCGTTGGATCAAATGGAGTGAAGTCCATTTGTTCATAGTTATCGCATTCGTCCAGGTCTGCTGCATTGAGAACCATCGTGTCTAGCGCATCGCGCGGTGGTTCGCGCCACTTCGCAGCAAGTGCAGACAGGATAAGCAGTGCCCCTCGATCGCTTTTGCCATCAAACGTAAAGCACTGTTCTTGAATCTCCATTTTATTCAGTGTCAACGTTCCAGTCTTGTCCGAGCAAAGCATATTCACACCAGACATCATCTCGATCGCAGACAGCCTTGTTACAATGATTTTGTGCTTTGACAAGTGCTTCGAGCCAACGGCAAGCGTCGTTGTTACAACGATCTCCAGTGCAATCGGGATCGACACCACAAGAACCACCACGGAAAACTGAATTGCATTTCGGAAGCTCTCGTGGAAATGGGCCAAAAGGTAAATGAAGCAACTCAAGCATAGCACGAACGAGATAGCACATAACACGAACATGACACGAGTTAGGATAATATGAATATGACCAATGTCCGTCCCAACAGCCTGCAACAGCGCTGCGGTCTTACCAAAGAATGTATTAGCGCCTGTGAGCTGGATGGTACCCTCCACTTCGCCGCGCACAACGTTCGACCCCATCTTCGGCATGTGTTCTGGGCCCATCGACACGGGTAGAGACTCACCGGTCAGTGCGGACTCGTCCACGTCGATGATGCCTTCATTAATACTGCAGTCGGCTGGAACCGCGGAGCCAGATGCCAGCTTCACGAGGTCACCGGGTACGATCACCGCGGCGTCGATCTGTTGCCATTTACCATCACGTTTCACCGTTGCCATGGGCTTCAACGAATTTTTTAGTGCAGCCACCGCATCACCAGCTTTGATGGTCTCGTACCAACCGATCGTCGCGTTTGCAATCTGAATACCCAATAAAATAGCACCATCGGGCCAATTCTCAAGTGCAAATTCAATAATAATCGCAATCCATAATGCAATCGGCATCGGACCCCACAACCCACGCACATAAATCAACCAGCTCGGCGTTTTCTTTTCCACCAATTCATTGCGGCCGTACTGCTGAAGTAGATTTTCGGCCTCCGCAGTTGTTAAACCTTTCGATGGTGGGAGTAAATCAACAACAGGTTCATCCGCATCTTCATTGTGCTCGCTAATAGCCTTGGATAAAACAGACTGCCGGCGCTGTGGTTTCTGCACGGGAAGTTCTTCCTTAAACATTGTTTTTCCTTTATTGGCTGACATTGTACAGATATTTCCGTCTGCACTTTGGTAAATTTGCTGTTGATATAAATAAATAAATATTTATTTATATATTTATGTTATAAATTAAAGACAATATAAATGTATAACAAATAAATTATATTTCTATATAAATTTATATTTCTCACTTTTCTAAAAATTTTAAATCTACAAAGGGAAATTTAGCTTAAAATTTATTACCAAAGATTTCATATTAGATCATCAGTTTAATTTCTATGATTCACAACGAAAAATATAATGTAAAAAAAAGTAACGATAATCATTTAATCTCTTTGAAATAGATTAATAGAGTCGGCAATGAAATTTTCCTTGATACTCAAGTTCTAGAGCCAAAGGAAACAAAACTGGTTTTTCGGCGAATACACACCGAGTGATTATCATCGGCCACACTAACCTCCAAAACTTTTTTATGAAACTGTAGGAACTCCACAAATTCACGATGTCGTGATTGCATGGCATGGCGGCATAGTGCCGTCAAGCCTCCTTCCATACCACACATCATTTTCGTGGTATGCAAAAGCTCTGATAGAGACACGTCAGCTCGATCAAGTACCACATCTACGGGCTCGAAAACATGAGAAGAAAAATGACTTAAGAGATGAACACTGATATGGGTAAAGTCATCTAAATCAGCGTTGGCTGTGTAGCGCCGCACTCTCATCATATCTGGATCAACCCAACAGCAGCGACCAGCAAGGCGCAGGTTCCTCATAATCAGCGGTAACTGGTCCCCATTATCTTTTTTACCACAATGGAGATTTCTACTGCCCGTCTGGACATTTCCTGTGAATCGCATTAACTGAGCACGGCTGTCCTCTGAAATTTTTGACAAAAGCTTCGGAATTGGTATCCACGTTGGGCGCAATGCCTCCGACACCTCAACTGGCAAGTCCTCAGTCCTCAGCTCACCCAAACTATTAGGGGCCAGCCAATATGGACGAAGGCGCACCATCTTTCCTCCATCGTCATGAGGAAATGCAACAGTGATAAATAAGTGATGATGATTGTTAGAATTTTCGATAATCGCTTCATCAGCCTGGATCACTGTCTCAAGCTCTGAGGTAGTGACATCGGCTTGCTTGGCCACTTCCGCAAGAGATACAAACCTGTCATAGGGGACCTTACTGATTATTTGCAGTAGTGTCCGTAACGGCTGAGAATGTACTGTAGACTCAAGTTCAGAGAAAATTGAAGATCTCGACGGCCGTTGCAAAGACAATAACGACGCTGTGGTGCTCTCCCGAGCCGTATGAGAGGTATTTTTATTCGTTGTTATCAATGAGTTCGTATTTGATGGGCTACGTGAGCTGCGAATGATAGGCTTTAGAACAGGGAAGGAACTTGTCGCGGCAGTGCTCTGCAAGGTTAATCCGAAAGGCCGCGCGGGTGACCGTGATGCTGACTCTTGCGCGGTGTCGTGAGCGCCGGCCAGGTCCCGTGGATCCCATCGGGGATAGTGCACGTTGGCCTGCCCCATGCGTGAGTGCTGCAGAGTTGGTGCCAGACGAGCCTGGTTATTGTGCTTATCGTATTCAAAGAAGTAGGAGTACACCTTCACAACGTGCGATATCGTGTTCTGCGGGCCCAATATCTTTACAAGAACATCGGTTAGAACAAGCTCCGGTACGGGGACAAAGAAGGTTGGAATACATTCAATAAAGAAGTCTAACATTTCTATCGGAGTCCGCCAGCCGTGCTGAATAGCCAGTTTGGTGTGAGCTGCCTGCAGTTCCTGTGGATTTTTTTTGAGGCTTTCACTGCTACTGCATTTGGTGGTGGTGTGTTTCCTCTTCTTTTGTGATCCTGAGTGTACTTTGTCAGGGATGGAAACTTGATTGGCAGTCTCAGTTGGGGAACCTGCAAGTTTTGACGATGGAATCGCAGGAACATTAGAGGATTTCGTAGGTTGCTTCGGTTTCTTTGACGTACTAGCATGTGAGGTGGCAGAAGACTTTTTCCGGGGTGTTGACAAGCCGTCATAGAACACGCTCGGGCAATCCGTCGTAGTAGCCGCCCATTCCGCACCATCCTGTCCTACTTCGACAGCCACACTTTCATTATCCTCGACGAATGGGTCATTAACAGAAACTTCCTCTTCCTCATCCAGGAAAGAATCGTCCACTGAGGAATTTTCGTTTGGGTCGCTATCCTTTGCAAGCTGTACGGTAGCAATATCCGGGGACCACGCCGGAATATCGTGCAACTCCCCTGAACGTGCAATGAGGTTATTTTCGGCGGAAAGTATCACGTGATGTTTAGCAACTTCGTACTGCTCATGAAAAAGACGTATAAGACCCTTTCCACTCGATCGTACCTGGCGTGAAAATTCCTCCGATGCTATCTCTTGCATGACCTGCAGCACAGGTAGCGGTCTGGATGGTGGAAGAGCTGTCGCCAACAAGCTCCAGTCCAGTGTTGATATGGATGCATGCCCGCCCATGGTATCACTCACGGAGCGCAGAGTACGGCTCTGCCTGCACTTTAAAGATTTGTTAGATGCAGTCGAGGTACTGAATCGCCCCCTCTCGCCGATGCTAGTTGCTGCACATGAGGCGGGCCGAACCAGCGCGCGCAGTTCCTCCTCAGCGTATAAATCGCCAAGATCGCCAGTCTTCATAGCAAGGGCGCAGCCACTGTCATCAGTGGGTAGTGTAGCCTCTGCCAGAGTCTTTCTTAGTTTTGGACGACTCACGTACCACCGCCGTACACGACCAACACCAAGACTGCCACCCGATATGTCCTGGCCTTCTGAAGCGGTCAGGGTGAATACGTCAGGAAAACTCTGAAGGAAAGAAAGAACGGAACCCCCTCCAGCCAACTCGCTAATAGCTTCCACATCTAACTGCGGTGTGAGATCAGTTAGACGCATTGCGCGTCCATCCTCCGGGAGTAATGAGGCAGCTTCACGAACCATCGTACTCACTGCTTCCATGAGCGTGACCTTGCCGGCCCCACCCTCCTCAACTGCGGCCGGCATGCGTGGCGTCGAAGTCGAGTCCGGCTGGGCCGAAGACGCTTCTCCCATACTAAGAAAGAACTCCTCGTAGGTCGCCATGGCGGCATCCGCATCCTCCTCTTCATCCTCCTCCTCTTCGTAGTGGTTTTCCGCACCCTTTGCCTTATCATGCGAAACTACTTGATTCCCTGGTTCGTGGGCAATCCTATCCACCCCGCTGAGGTCTCCCTCTTTGTCTGGGGAAAGGGCGATAGACCCCAGCCCACGGCAAAAAAGACGGCCGGACGGGGTGGCTGGCCGCCACTTCAAATGCCGGACGTCTGCGCGATGGGAGAGATCGACTGTCTTCGGCCCAGACGTCAGTGAGGCCAAAAAAAACCTTCGAATGAAAAAATAGTGATCATTTTGTAAAAGCTGAACGCCTGTCGTCAATTGTGACAATGGGGTACACCTCAAGATTGCGCGCCGACTTATTGGCTTATCAACCTTGAATAGAAGAACACTATTCATAATACATGATAGAGTTTGAACCTATTGTACAGAGAGAGAATAAAAGAGGAAACAATTAACAGATTGGACACAACACCATTGAATGTTACCGGAGAGTATAGAAGAATCGTGACAGAAATATTCGAAAAAGGACGTCCCCCCTCTCACCCTGGTGATTGCACGCACAGGGTGGTTCTTACACCAATTAAATTTGGTTTACTTAGTCACTTCTTCATTCAGTAGACAAGAAGTTCCATCGGATAAAGTTGCAATTGACTTTTTTGAGTTTTTTATCTATTTCCTCCCGTTTGATTCGAGTCATCTGTAATCTAGACTTAGACATCGAGCACAATTTCCACAACCAGTGAACAAGTGTCGCATTCGCAGTATGTCGTTTGCCTTGCGAAATTCCTCCCGTTTGATTGTATTTCCTTACCTGCCCGTGCCGATTCAGAGCGAAGTCGTGTGATCTCATAGGTCCCACCACAGCGGCATTCACGCTGGTAAATATCGGCCCATCCCCCACCAAAAGAAAAACCACCTAAAGAAGATACGAAAACAAAGTCCCCGGAGAGGCTGCAGGTTTCACTTGAGGCACCCACGGAGCGCAACATAGTCTGACATTGCAGTTGATCATACTGGTGGCGTAGAAAAGGATCCAGTAATATCTCAACCGCTTCCCTTACAAGATAAAAAGGAATCCCAGAGGATGCAATGGTGTTTGCCTGGACTTTCGGACTCTGTCCGTCCGCCATGGCATTACTCCATCGCAGAACACGTTTGTCTGGATGCGTCTGCAGAGCCATTTTCTTAAAACTTTGTCGGATCTCGGCAACATCAGCGGATGGGGAAACTCCAAGAATATCATAAGGAGTACAACTATCGTATGGCCATAAGTTTGTCATTTTCTGGCACGCGTGTCAACCGCACAGTAAATAATAGTAGTAGTAAACTAATTAATACGAGAGGTGGTGCTATGTAAAAGACAATGTAATATGACTCTGTTGAATGTGCTGCCCAATACCTTTATTTCTCTATATTTTTACCTTTTTTAGAAAAGGATAGAATCGCCTTTTAACTAGTACTTTAAGGTAAAAAGAGACTAACAATCATGAAAAAAAAAGAATACAGACAGTCTTTTTTTGTTATTGTTCTTCAACCGGTATCTGTTCTACCTTTGTTTGCATTATGTTCGTGTATTGACCGAATAAATGATCAAAATAACTAAACAGCAATATAAGTGGTATTAATAAGGAAATAGTAAAGGATAGAATCCCTAAAACGGAAAAAAAAGTATACTATATGATGCTTACCTATGTGAATATTTCTTTTCTAGTTCGCTAATTTCAGCATTGCGTTACGGCCTTCTGTGTAAAATGGTAAGGGCCTCCCTTTCTTTAGGCCTCTTCGAGTGCCTGCGCGATGTCATTATTTTCATCCGCATCACCCATGTACAAGTTACCTACCGGACACAACTGTGAGACCGGCATATTGTTATCCGTCTTCACCTCCAATTCGTCCAAGAAGGTGGAAATCTCACTGAGACCCCCACGGCCGATCTGTCCGAGGTTAAAGTCCTGGGCGTGCTCATTTAGAAAACGAATGCACCTCGTGCAGTGGATGCAGCGATTGAGCACCACACGCGTTTGAGGATCAAAGTAGAAGTCCTCCACGGCCTTTTTGTCATCACGGTATCGCGGAATACCCGTCCCGTAATTCATGGTGACATTTTGGAGGTCGCAATTAGTGGCCTGCTCGCAGATTGGACAGTCATTAGGGTGGTTGATTAAAATCAGCTCTACATTCCCCTCGCGAGCATCGCGCACGAGGCGGCTGTCCGTGATGATGGACATCCCAGGCAACACCACGGTTGAGCACGCCACCACCAAATTCTGCGTGCCGTCAACCTGCACCATACACATTCGACAATTCCCTGCGACTGACAAAAGGGGATGATAACAAAATTTGGGAACTCGAATGCCCTCGCGTTCCAGCACCTCGAGTAGGTTCTCCTCCTGAGGAATAATCTCCACAGGGCGTTTATTGACAAACATAATCGCTCGCGGTTTACTCTCCGCATACTGTCCGGAAGCAACCTCCTCCGCGGCTGATTGCATCGCAGCGTCGCGTAAATACGTGCTACCGTGCGCAGTATTGGCCATATCCATATTATATGGCTCGTCACTCTTAAAAAAACGCCGCGGCATCGACAGATTTAAACAGTTTGCGGTAGTAAAGCTGTTGAAAATGAACCTTTTGACCTGCTGCATGATGAAATAGCTTCTTTATATTGATTAATGTTGAATATATATATATATATATATATAAATTATAAATGACGAGCCTTTACGCACTTCAATCTACGTTCCTAAATTTAAATAATGATATTTCTTGTTTTTATTTCTTTTTTTAGAGAGAGAATAGTCCTATTAATTTTGCTATTACCGACACAAAAGAAAAATCGAGATCGGATATGCTGTGGCGACACAATTGTTTCTTTCTCTGATTCAAAGATATATATTTTTTACAGAAGTAGGGAAAGCAAAAAAGAAAAATCAAATAAAATCAGTGACACATAAAAGCTGATACTGATCAAAATAAAAATTGTCCCATTATCACTCAATCCTATGTAATTTTTTGAAGAGGAGAAAGTATCAATCTCCAAAACCAAGGCAAAAAATTCAAGGTTTGTGCAAAATAGATTTCGCTAGATATTTCACCAATACGAAAGGTGGAGGCAGAACCCAAATCATATTATATTTACCTTTCTCTTTTTTTTAAACCCAAATCATAATAATAAAAGCGCTATAGGATTTAAACCGATCCGCTCGCTTTTGGTGGATCTATCACGGTAATGCAAAATTGAGGACCTATGTTTAGTTACCGCTATTTGTTGTCTGGTCCGGATGTGTACTCGATTTTAATTAGCGAAAACATAATGTAGAACAGGGATAGCACGGCTAACCCGTACAGACATGATACTTTCTGGTCTTGTCGCCATTGCCAGCTTTTTAACTTGAGAAACTCACCCTCGCTGATGTCACCGTCCAAGCGATTCAGTATAATTAATGAGCACATCCCAATCGGCTCAAAGCCGTTATCCAGAAGCATCTCATGAAATATCGGCATGTGAGCAGCCCCCCATGGAATGGCAAAGGTCCTATAGCCGTTCCGCCGCAGGGGGTTGATCATGTCGAGGCAGTGCTTCTCCCGTGCGAGACTCCCAAACAGTGGGATGTTAAAGCGCAGGGAGCACCACCAGGGAAGACACTCGTAATCATAGCGGTCGGCAGCGTGGAGGATAGTGTGGTGGGGGGAGTCTTTGACACCCCAGGAGAAAGGCTGAAAAAAGCTCTCGACCTCGCGCGGTTCCCATCCCTCGTCGTCCTCATGCCCCGGGGGGCGCACGGGGGGGAGGGGGGGACGGGATGGGACCATCGTGCTATAAGGGGCCCCCTTCCACGGGCTTCGGCCCTCCACCAGGACAGAGTCGTGCTGCCCACACAACGCGTCAACCTGCTGGAAGAAGACGGGGTGGGCGAAATGGCGGAGGGGGATCAGCGTGACCACGGCCTCGTCCCCCGGGCGCTGGTAGGTCTGCGCCAGGCTCACCGCACAGGCCTCCCGG